AGGTTGCAGACATCGATTGAGTCTGCGGTCAAGATCCTTGAGGACCAGTACGAAGCAGTAGAGCAAACCAAATCGGAGGTTGAACAGTTGAAGAAAGGGAAGCTTTCAGAATCTGAAGCTAAACCGTTTCCTGCCGGTATTCATGTACAATGTGGTTGTTTATTCTAGCAACTCTGAACCTCACACTGTGTGATGGGTAACACCAACTATCAACCATGGTGGTGAGTGGATTTGAGGTTGGTCGCCAAAGTGGAAAGCCAGCTGAAGTCTACTCAAAAGGCATGTGCGAAGGTTACCACTGCTGAGACTGCAGCAAAGACCTTTGACTCGATTTCAATCATTTTCCATTCTGAGGGTTTGCCCAAACAATCCAATCACGTCCCTCGCCCTTTCGTGGATAGCCTCGCAGTCGCAGCCAAGGACTTTGCTCAAGATGGTGACCAAGGATAAGTGATCCTGAAAGCGCTTGAGCCGGGATGCCCTTCAACGCCAGGGATCGTTGATGATGTGTCCTAACGTTTGGGGGAGCCTTCCACATAGCTGAAGGACTTTTTGTTGCGATGGCCTCATTTCGGCCAGCCGTTTGAGCTTTCAATGGGGATAGTCAACATGTGCATCGCACGTGCCTGGGGTCCAACACGGATACCAACCATGGATCAATCTTTAAAGGGAGCTGCAGCGCTGGATGAGAAAAATGCAAAACCTAGCGGCCTACCGAGCCATTGGGCAGGAGTTGTGAACTGTCACCCTTTTCACCCATGCGCGCTCGATGGGCCAGGTGCAAAACGAGATGCCCACCCTGGACGTGTCCTTGAACATCTTGCCGGCTTTGCAGCTCGTGGAGCCAGGTCCCCAGCTGCCCGAGTCCTGCGGTGGTGTGGATGCAAATGGTGAGTGGTGTTCTTCAGCCGTGGGTTCAAACTTTGAGACTGTTCCCTATCAACTTTGCCGTGAAGTTCAAAACTGAACCTCACAGTTTTGTGCACCCGCAGGTTCACATGAAATTGCGCAGAGCTTTGTTTTTTTTGGGGGAACCGACACTTTCTCATCAACTGCCCGTTGACATGGAAGATTGGTTTGAAGAGCTTCTCCATTTCTCTGGTGCAAAGCGAGCTGCTGACTTCTTGGTGCCTGACAGTCCTCGCCCGAAAGCTGTAAAGTTTCTTGGAATATATAAGAATTCCAAATTTGGGGATATATAGTTTTGACAAGTGCACATCACTAGTTGCCATAGTTAGGTGCGCTGTCCTAGGCTGAACGAACCTGATTGTCGAGGGATGGCTGCAGCTGATGATGTATATGAAAACCCTTACGTGGAGTACTTCACTAGGAATGAACCCTCAGAGCGCTGTCCTCCTCCGAAAACGGCCGGTGAAGCACCATGGCGAGCCATTCGGGTGAGCAAGTTTTTCCCCCCTTAATGCTTATGTGTCACACTGCTTTTTGTGCATTGCCTCCCTTCCTGACCGAGTGAGTGGTCGTTGAATTCACTCAGGATGTTTCAAGTGCTATCGTTGCCCTGACCACTTTGGGGGAAGCATTTGATGGCGAAACCTTTGATTGGAAGTCAGTTCAACCGTACCGGCTTCTGAACCACTGTGTTGGAGGCAGGGGTTCTCTTAGCTGTGGAAAAGTGCTGGCACATGCCAAAGCACAAATCACAGCCTTCAGGGAGACCATAGGGGTGAGACTTTGTGTTTTCAAGGTGGGTGTAACAAGCAACCCTGTACATCGGTATGTATCGTACTTAGGACTGGGGTTTACTTCCATGTGGGTCATCACAAAGTCTCACAGTGTAGACCTAATTCACATGTTGGAGGCCGCTTGCATTTCTCATTTTAGTTTGCACGTTGGTTGCAGGAACCAACATGAAAGTGGTGGGGAGGGGGCTCTCAACAGAGCCAATCCCAAACCTCCGTTTTTTTTGTATGTGACAGGTGGTCGAGCCGACCAACCAAGAAGGGTAGGTTGAATACTCAACCAACATCAGCATCGATGGGGGTACAAAGCATGAGAAAACAACCTGCATTGCTGCTTTGCGCTGCGCGTTTCTTTGCTGGGAGTCTTTGCATGTTGCACCCTCCCTCCCATGAGCAGAATTGACTTGTCAAGTGCCCCAACCCATGCAGTCACAATCCTCCAGATTTCTATCGTTTCAGCTTGCCGAGGAACCGATGTCCTATGTGGTTGGGCTGGCAGCTGCAGAGGCCAAAGAGAACCCTAAAGCCAGTGAGGCTCTAAAAGAGTTTGGATCGATTAGAGTTCGGGATGCTGAACAGAAGGCCCATCAAGTCCTGGAGAAACATGGTCTCACCTGTCCGATTAAGATTGACAGGGTCAATCTTGCTGAAGGCAAACGTTACCAAGCTTTTCCATGCATCAAGTTTTCCACATGGGTGAAGTACTTGTTGGATTCTGGCCGTTTACCACGACAACTCTGTGCCTGTGAGAACTTTCAGAGTATGGAGCTGAAGCTAGAGGAATTCTGGGCACGCTACGAGTCACTTTACCCCTCACATCAGCTTTTTCGAATGAAGGAGGCTGGGGAGGTAGAAGTGAGACACGTGGTACCAGTCTTTTCACATACTGACAAAGGACGATCCTACAAAAAGCAAGCGCTGTGGCTGCTTTCGACACATGGGGCACTAGGACGTGGCACAAGAGGATTTTTGAGAAAGGGGAAAGACAAACTCTCTCTGAAGCGTTGTGGATTTGGTTTGAATTTCTGTGGCCATACATGGTCTACCCATTTTATGTTCTCCTGTATGTTGCGCAAGTTCTTCAAGAAGCAGCCCAAGATTTTGGATGACCTTGTTCGCATCTACGCAAAGGACATGGAGGAACTTCTTCGCAGCGGTGTTTGGAGTTCTGATGGGAGCGTTCACATTCGCTGCTGTCACATCGGAACCAAAGGGGATTTACCAGCATTGACACGAATGGGGAACATGAAGTACTCGTTTGGCAATTGCCCCAGGGCTGCGCAGTCCAGGAAGCCATGTGAAGGCATATGCTGGATGTGCCTCGCGGGCCAGGAGGCCAACCCTAGCAAAAATTTGATTGCAATACCTTTCGAGGACACATCTGGAAAACCGCTTTGGGAGCGCACCTTAGGACAGCAGGTGGCCTGGGATGAAACACCACCGTTGCTACAGGGAGTACCCTTGTTGCAATGTGACCACTGGATGTTTTACAAAACAGATGTATGGCATAACTTTCATCTGGGACTAGCCAAACATTGGGTTGCATCTTCATTGGTGTCTATGCTGGAAAACCTTCCTTTACCATACCGGTCCATGGACGACAAGGTTGAGTGGCTGGGTGTGGAATACAAAAGATTTTGTGCGCGCAAGCGGATCAGTCCACATTGCGAGGAACTTGGCCGGGAGTCGTTGAACTGGCATCAAACCAGCAACTGCCCAGTGGGTTCATGGAACAAGGGTAGTGCGAGCACTCATTACATGATGTTCTTGGAGGATCTCTGCAAGACTTGGGCGAGTGAGATCCAAGGTGAACCCCTGCTGGAAGCAATAGTTCCTTGTATGGCTAGAATGGCAGACTTCCCTTTCTATTGTTCACTTTAAAAGTGCGCTGCTGGTATCCTTTTAGGTTGTGTGCTTTTTGGATAGTGCATGTTGCTGCAGGTTTAGGATTTTTTGGCACCAGTTTTGACCCAATACAGGTGACTGGAACTGTGGCCATCAACACTGCCATCGCCACCATGTACCACGAGGGGTTTTACATGCGATGGCCGCGAGGCATGAAGATTGCGAAACTTTGGCTTCTGTTCCTGCAAAAGTATACTCTTGCAACTTCCATAGTGTACAGCAGGGGCCTGAACCGGTTTTCCATCGTTCCAAAACTGCATATGCTGCACCATGGGGCGATCAGGTTGTTGCGTGAAGCTGAAAAGGCAAAAGCAAATTCAACAGGGTGGTGTGTCAACCCACTCAGTGAGAGTGTACAGATGCAAGAGGATTGGATAGGACGTCCATCTAGGCTTTCTCGCCGTGTATGCCCCAAACAAATCCATTTACGTGTGTGCCAAAGGTCTCTAATTTCAACTATGTCCCATTTGAAAACGGCTGATGAAGATCAGCGTGGGGTGTTTGCCATGTAGTAGCCCTGCCTAAGGACGAGCCCCGCAATAGAAACAACCTAAAGTTTTGGTTTCTGGAGGTGTGTTTACAAAACAAAGCTTTGATGTGCTGAAGGTTTCTGTTTACATGGGGAGGATCTGGAGGCTGAGGGTTGCTGCTGCAACTTGTCCGTTGGGAATCGGGCCTGCTCGGGCCAATGGAGCAAGGCCAAAACCGGACGCGCAGCTGGAGAGGGGTGGTGACGGTGGCAGGATGTTATCTTTTGGTACTGTAGGGCATCCACAAGCATCAAAGTCAAACAGTTCTGTGAGCTATCTTTGCCCCAATGGTGATGTTGATCTTGATTTTGCCCAATCATGTGCATGGTATCCTTCATGCGCCTTAGACTTGTTCTTCTTCAGCCCAGGCTAAAACATTGCCATTTCCCTCAGGGCCGTACTTTTTTAAAAGGGTCCGTACTTTTATATAAACTCGGGTCTGACCTGTTTCTGAAGGCCAAAGCGGCCACAGGTATATATACATTCATATTACATTATGTTACATGATATATATATATATGCGTATTATATGCTTGTCGACAATTTTCTGAGTCTCGGTGAATTGGATTGTTGCGTCAGTGTGGTCATCACATGCCACACATGGATGCGTAGATAGATGGTGTGGGACATGGGCATCTGCTGGCTGCAGCAGATTACACGAGATTGCATGTTTCGCCGTTCGTGAGGCGAAGTGTTGAAGCGTTGAATACTCCACCCCCGAGCCGGTGGGCTTGGATCTTGCTTTGCTCTACACGTTTCATACTGTAATCCGCACGTCTTACACCCCAGACAAACCCTGCTGAAGAGGGCCCAGACTGACCAGTGGGCGTGTCTAGTGGCGGCGCTCAATTCTTAACCCCACCAGGGCCTACGGCGTCCTCCTCGAAGCCTTCGGTTGCTGTGGGCGCGCGTGTCTTGACAGAGCTTGTGGCAGCTGGCTGGTCGGGCACGCTGCGAAAGCTGGTGAGTAGTCCCTTTACTGATCGATTGACACTGACACAGAACCAGGGCCTGTCAGCGACCTCTCTCGCAGGTTTCCCCTAGAAAAAGAATGGGAATGAATTTGTCACACGAAGAAACATTAGAAACTTATTGGAATTGACGATGTCATGATGTACTTCATGTTACATCCTATTCCGATCAATGGTGAAATAAAAAATAAATACCTTTTGACCTCTTTGGTTACCCCACTTGGACTTCCCCCCCCAAAAAACACAGGCGCACCATACTAACCTTTGGAGCAACCCCCCATGTCATCCCATGTCGTGGAGGAAATCCACCGTGCTCGGTCCCCCAGGCCGGGTGCAGTACCCGGTGCTCTCGCAGCTCACGCCTCTGGGGCCGGAGCTCCTGGAGGCCGCTGAGACCGAGGACGAGAAGCAGGCGGGACGTGGGGTGGGACCGTGGTGGGGTGGACGGGGTGGGACTCCATGCGGCTGGAGGTGAAGCCTCTAACTCAGCAACAAGGAAGTGGAAAAATAAGAACAACTCTTTCTAGAGGAAAATGGTCATCCAAAGGGTTATTCTTCCATGATGATTTCAGGGAGTGTAGTCTTTGTCATCATCCTTGTCCTGCTTCTTGACCAGCGATAGGGGCTGAATTTGCTTGGCTTGGCCTCTGGACATTGAGGTTCTGTGATTTGAGCTCCAGGTTGTGGACACTCTGAACAGCGAGATCATACCGAGATCATATATACATATTCATACACACATAGTCACAATAGAATACATTTTGCAATATATCGTTATATAATGTTATATGTATAATAACTTAGTGATAAATTAGTATCAGTATGAGTCAGTGCATCTTTTGTACGCCGTTGGAATGTTAGGGATCCCCCTGCCTAAGTGGCTAGCGGTCTACTCAATCATTGTTCTTAGGTATTCTTAGGTTGTGGAACGGGTGCCATGTGTCGCCACCGAGGCGGCCTTGGAACAACGTACTGATTGCGTTCGGCGGGTCGCTTGGAGGTGGGGAGGGGCGGACAAAGGGCGACTGACGGATGAAGAAAACAACAGAAATCACAGGTACAGATCGAATGCCAACCACGGAGAGTCAGAGAGTCTATGGTTTTTTTTGACCACGTGTGTGTGGTTGGCACATATCCTACCTTTTGAGCCTGGATGCGGTTTGGTATGGCTTGATGTTGTTGATGGTCATCCTCCAGCTCATTTCTTCTTTGAGGGGTGTTTTTCATGGGAGCTATGGGAACCTATCAGTGAACCCATCCACCATGCTTCTGCAATATGTTTTAAGCATGCAACTTATATAGAGTTCCGTTGTTCTTCGTCCTGGTCAAATTGCAACATGCACAACAGAGTTACTGTAGGTTTTTGCTGGAAGCGTTCGATGGACTGGTGAGCGTCAAGATCCCCCCTAGCTGAGTCTCCCAATGCATGAATTCAACGGGAATGCGTGGGACTTTTGGTTTCAGCTTTTGGGGGTTGCAGATTTCGATGTGACTTCGAAGCTGAGCATCATATACTGTACTATTTTGATCATGTTTGATCTGTTCGTACACCTGATATCATGCTCCACCAATTGAACGCTTCAGAACGACGGGACCGACGGGACCGACGGGAGCCGTGCGGCGTCCGCGTTCCGCACCTCAAGCGACAAGATTCAGGTTCCAAAAACAGCAGAGTCATTAGGTAGCTACCTGTTAAGAATTTGGAACCTACTGTAGTAGGCAGCTGCAGGTCTTGATGAAAGATCTTTAGAATGATGACCATCTTGCAATCAGTGGATCTCGGAGATTGCTAACGGCTAGCCAAGCTCAGAACTGGCACCCTCCATCGCAGCATGCATCCAGATCATCCAGCGTCCGGGACATCTATTGATATATTGGTTTTGTTGAGACACGTGCCTTGGAGACTGCCAGAAGTGTCCCAAAGAAGACCCATCTTCGTGGTGCAGATTTCCGACTTCGCCCCTCGTGGCACGGACTGGGGCGCCATGCATCCTGAGAGCCGGGCGCCGATTCCGCGGAGGGCCTATCCAGAAGGCCCGGTGCTAAAGGCTGCAGCCTCCTCGCCGGTGGTGCCCGCGCGGGAGGCACCCAAGAAGGCGGCATGGGTGGAATGCAGCCGAAGTGTGATGTGGGTGGACATTGTTTGCGTGCAGTTGGGTCTAGAATGGCAGTCTGCAGTGTGATGTTTTTTCACGAAAGGTAGCTTGAGCTACCTGAGTTCTCCTTGCTTTAGCAAAAATCAACCTGGATCATTCCCACCCCTGCGCCGGGTCACATCCATCCACCTTTGACGCCGTCATGGACTTCTACCAGGGTTACTTGTGATTGCCTGCTACCTTTCGTTCACCCCCTCCTCTCTCAAGTTCCTTTTGGTTTGGTTGACTACTACTGCCCACATGCGAAGCAACACTAAGAATCAGGTCGGATGATCATCCATGGATCCATGTCTTTTTGATCGGGGGCTACAAGAAGGACATCCAGTTCCAGTTTCCAGCATACCAAAGGGGTGGCCGATTTGAGAGTGTCCACGGCCTCTACCCTACTAGGAGGCTTCCGAGGCGTACTTCTTCCTGTTTATACACTTCATTATATTTCAATAATTTATACATTTCATTTGTTGGCTTGCTGGGCTGCAAGAGTCAAACATGGGTGAAACTTTCTTTGGTACGATCTCGGAAAGCGGGTGGGGGGGGGCTTCAGAGCAATCCGAGCTCTGGGGGCTTGGGTGTTGTTCAACCTTTTACCCACGAAGGGGGGAAGAGCTCCAAGTCCGTCCGGCGCCACAGATTGAGTTAGCACCGCACCGACTCGATGGAAGCCACTCACCGACTCTCGGATCCCCGCTTTCCTGTTTGAGTCCACGTATAGGAAGGTGGTACTGACTGCTGATAAGGTCTGATCAGTTCTAGTAAGGCCATCATGAAGGCCAATGATCGGAGCATGATGAGGGCCAAGCTCCTTCATTTCACCTCCTTGGATCAGGAACGAGCTCGGTGAGGGTCCAGAAACAACCCACGTTGCCTTCAGATGGTTTCCAGTACTTCTTTTCTTTGGCCCCTCCCACCATATTTGAGAACAGCATATCGGCCCTTGCCGGAGGCTGACGAGGTGGAAGCTGAACGTGTCTTGGCCGGCAGCTGTGGAATGGAAGTGCCAGAGCCTTCTGTTTCGGGCTAGCACTCCAATGAGGCCGTGACCCATAAACCTATTGATTGCATAAAGTTTCTCATCCTGAAAACTCGAAGCGACTCGAAACATTGAGGAGCTTGCAGCTTGCGCTTGTGATCCATGGCCCATGATTGTTTGTTGGTTTGTGGGGTAGTGACTGGTTAATATTAATTAGCAAGATTTTCACGGTTGAAATGGGTCTCGCAGATGCAAGCTTTGGCAAGCTTGTGGCTGATGGACCACGTCATTTTGCCTGAAAGAAACTTAGCAAAAGAGCAGTCCTTGATCAGTGAGAAGCCCAAGTGGCGCGAAATGGGGAATTCAATTCGAATGGTACGGTATAGTTAGTACAGTTGGTGGAACAACTCCTATTCCCCTGTTCCATACAGAATCCAGATGTTTTGACCTCAGCCCTTGCTTGATATGCTGCATGGCAGAGGCCTATGGTGGTCTGACTATTGTGAGCAGAAGCTGCAGGAGATCGCCGCACTCGAATTGGTGTCGTGTGGTGCAATCGAAACCTACACGGACAGAGAGCAACCAACTGACTGGTGCTTATGTAGAGGCAAGTGTAGAGGCAATGATCCACCCTCATTCCTTGCACTCGTCGCAGCAGTCAGCCCAAAGTTCTCGCCTTTTCCACGACCCATGCGACTGGAATATGTGCCGATCAATTGACCCCTCAAACCACCCCTGGCCGTTTCTCGACAAATATGGCAGTCCATGGCAGTCTCGAGTGTAATAGTTGACCTATACATCGTTGAGGTATTGACTATACAGTCGACCACCCAAGCTATGACACAGTTGGAGATGCTCAGGGCCTGGAATCCTTCCAAGGATGTGGAAGGTCGTGAAATATATATATATACACTGTATATATATATATACACATCACTGATCTACTCAGATTCTAGTCACTCTATCCAGTGCTGCAGAAGGATGCAGTCGACGTCCACGACCCTATCCCACACAAGCTGTATCTCTAAGCGCACCTTGAGGGTAACATATTGAAGATTTGGCCCTTTGCCTTTGCCTGTTTATCGTTACCTTTCCATGGGGTAGTGGTTTGACATTTGCCATGACAATACCGCCCGCTGAATTGGTAGAGAATGAGGACTCTTCTAAAACGATGACGGCATGGAACATGATGTCTTCGGTCTTGAAAGTCTTTGGACCCGATCCTCGGAAAGATATCTATAGATGTATCTTTACAACAAGTTAGCCTTTTTTCCACCTGCTTTCGTGTTTCTTGTTTTCCCTCAGTTTGAGTGGAGGGCGGCTATTCAACAAATCCATGCAGGAACTCCAGGAATCCTTCAGCAAGGAACTGCGGCGGCTCACAGAACGGATGCAAGCGGACTTGAGGTGCCCTGACTGAGAAACAGCTTCAGGGGAGCTGGTTTTCGGTTTAGGGTGCGATGAACAGGAAAAGGTGCAGGCGTGTTTTTTTCTCATCCGTGCGGAATATAGTATTTTATTTTCTGGGGGAGGAGGGCTTTCTGATCAGGAACAGTTGGTAACACATCAAGCAATCATCAGGCATGAAAAAATGTGTTTTGCCTATCATCATGGGATTTCCCACGTGGCTACTATGCCAAGATGAGGACTGTTGAAACATGCTTTCGAAACCCATGTTCTTTCCCCATGCTTCCCCCAGGACTTGAAACTCACGCCCTTTGAAACCGTGCACCTCTTCTGGACCTTTTCCTTGCTTCCCCGGTCCCGACGAAGCCGACCGGCCAGGTTCACCGAGGACCGCTTGGCCGCGCAAGTGGAGAGTGAGAAGGACGCGCGCCAGGCGGGTCCATGGGACGGGCAGAAGAAACGGTGTCCAAGATGTGACGTACTTGGGAGCATTGGGTGGGACCATTGGGTTGGAATTCCTGTCGAAGGCATAGATCACCTTCTTGGAGGTTACCCTCTGTATGCCAGTTGGTTTAGTCAGTGGCTTATAGAAAGAAACCAAGCGGGTCAGCCAGAAGTGGGTCACGGGAACCGTTCATGTCAAGCCACACTTGACTCGATCCATGAGCCACGAGGACTCGGGGGGTTTCAAGGAGCTGGAAGGTTCACGATCGATGTAGATTCTATGTAGCATATGGCCACAAGAATAGGCTGTCACAGTGGACAATGGTAAGGTGGCGTTCCTAGCTTCGTGACTCAGGGCAGCATCTCGTGCAGAAGAGTGGTCAGAGAGGGCATGACTGGGAAAGTGCATCCAACACAGGTTTTCTGTATCTCGGTGACGGTGGACTCTTATTTTTACGCCCAAATTGCACGCATTGGCTAGCGGCTAACAACCCTAACAACCCCCACTAGCACGAAACTCTCTGACGGCTCCGACCCCGAGATCACCAAAACTCGGCCAACTCCGTCCGACCTTGAATTGGACGGCTCAGTCCTCACCGTTTTCCAGGCCTCAGTGGGAGACCTGCGACGGGAGTCGGACCATCAGAGCGTGGAGATGTCCGAGATCGTCCGCTCGCAGGCGAGTTCTACGAGGTCGAACTCCGCGGAGTTCGACGGCTGTATGAGGAGGGTGTTGGGGAGGGCGTTCCAGAATCCTTGGGGAGGGAGAAGCTTTTTGGGAGGTATAAGGGAAGTGTATGAAAAGGATGGGGTTCTCGTTTGGCAAAGCACTAGGAAAAGGAGGGCGATGGTGAAGGGCAGTCTGGCAGGCGCTGGGAATCCATTGAAGTACTTTCCTTTCTGGATGGTGGTTTCAGATATGATATATGTATGTTTATGTTTTAAATAGATTTTGAACGTTTTATGGACTAGGCATGCTACTTGGTATGATTGAACCATTTTTTTTGTCGTTCGTGAGTTGAA